AGTATTTACTCTATGGTTAACTATTCCTCTTTGCTGAATCCAGGCCTTGTCAGGAATTTAACCAATGATGATACTCTAGTCTTGTTTATGAAACAGGCACCAACCTAAACACCACAAGTTCCTGTCTATCTTTTGGAATATTTTTTCCATCCTTGGGTAGTTTGTTTATATGTGTGCAGTGATCGGTAATCAACTGAGTACTGGAGGGAGTTTCTCTAGAGATCTCCAAGCTTTTTTTTTCCCCCCTCTCTCTTTATATGCAGCGCTCCCCTCTTGGGGCTGAAATGCTGTCTCTGACTTCTCAGCAACATATCTTCAACCTGCTGAGTACACTATGCACTGGTTTCACTGCCACACCTCCAACAACCACAGATGCCACAGCAGTAAAGCTTCTGGACCACTAAGTACAAACAGTTCACATAAGTGCAGGGAAGGAGTAGCAGGTAGAGTGAACTTAGGGAGTAAGGGTAATCTCTGGCACAGCATTTTAAAGTATAATAGCTCCTTTAATCCCTTTAATAATCCCCAGAGTGGGCCTGAGAGAATGCAGGAGGTAGGCCCTTGACTTGCAAATTGGTTGCTTCAGTTCAAATCTCCAGTATCATGTATGATTCCTTGAGCATAACCAGGTCTCATTCCTGAACACAGAGGCAGGAATAGTCCCTGAACATCACTAGGTGTGGCTCAAATCCCATATCCCCAATCCAAAATAAAATAAACAACAACAAAATAATCCAATAAATTATTATTTTTATCCCTTAACAATTGTGTAACCAATACACAAGAAGAAAAATTTAATAAATCTATAAGATACAACTTTCCTAAGATCTGTAATGCTGTAAGAATAAGGACAATGTTAGAAAAATGAAAAAGTCTTTTTTTAAAACAAAACAACAAAAAAAGTGAGAAAAAACTCTTTCCCCAAATTAATGCTTACTAGATCCCAAAAGGACTAAAAGATAAAGGTGAGGAAGTTTCCCCAGAAAACAAAGTAGAAGGACATTAAAAGCAGCAACAAAGAGGGGCTGGAGTGATAGCACAGCAGGTAGGGCATTTGCCTTGCACGTGGCCAACCCAGGTTCAATTCCCAGCATTCCCCTGAGCACCGCCAGGAGTAATTCCTGAGTACATGAGCCAGGAGTAACCCTTGTGCAACGCTGGGTGTGACCCAAAAAGCAAAATAAATAGATAAAACTTAAAAATAAATAAATATATGAATAAATAAAAATAGAAATGAAGAGATTAAGAGTATGAATGAAGAACATTAAAAGTAGGAATGAAAAAATAAGAATACTCAAAGAATATTCACAAATCACGAATCACGACCATCCTGTTATTCGTCAATTGCCTTGAGCAGGCTCCAGTAACGTCTCCTTCATCCTAGCCCTGAGACTTTTAAGAAAGTGCTATATTCAAGGCTCTTTAGGAGAATGAGACCCATTCAAAGAATATTCAATGCAGGAGAAATGGGATCAAATCCAAGAGTTTCAATTTTCTCTTTCTGAAGTTCTTTAAAAAAAGAAACCAGAAAATTGTGGGAAAAAAAGATACCAAAGAAGGGTTTGGGGAGAGAGTATGCTTGAATTTGACCAACCCAGGTTCAATCCCCGATACCCCATACGGTCCTCTGAGCCCGTCAGGTGTGAAATCTCCGGTTGCAGAATCAGCAGTAAGCCCTGAGGACCACTGGGTCCCAAAACAAAAGAGAGAAAGAGAAAAGAAAGAGAGGGGATGGAAAGAAGGAAGAAAAGGAGGAAAGAAGGAGGGAGGGAGAAAGGAAGGAAGGAAGGAAGGAAGGAAGGAAGGAAGGAAGGAAGGAAGGAGAGAGGGAGGGAGGAAGGGAGAGAAGGAGGGAAGGAGGAAGGGGAAAGGGAGAGAGAAAGGGAGGGAGGAAGGGAGAAAGGGAGGGAGGGAGGAGGGGAGGGAAGGAGGAAAGGAAGGATGGAAGAAAGAAAGAAAAACAGATTCTCTGATAGACACCTCCCTACCCCCACTCCTCCCTGAAAATAAGCAGCAAAGTCAGTGAAAGGGTCTGGGTAAATCTATGTGGCTGACTGATGTGCCAACTAAGCCTGCAAAAAACAATGACTGTTTGGCAATGTTGTTTGCTCAATCAACCGTCTATCTGCAGTGACTACAGTAATATGTTCTCATGTGGGCAAAGTTTTAAATCATCATGATCCTCAGATTTCTCCTGGTGGGTTTCGTCACCTCTTCTAATTCCCTTTCAATGTGGTCAGTCTAGAATTCTGTCAAGAAACAAAAAAGCATGAATTAAATGAATCAATGGCATCAACAAGAGGGAAGTTCAATGGTGTTTGCCACAGTGCAGTGGGGGTGCCAGGCAAGCCAAACCAGCAGAGTGAAACTGCACAACCAGATGTTCTCTTTACCAAATCTTCCAAGTCCCTGGGCTTTTGGAGACCTAGTAAGAGGTGGAAAGAATGGAAATTAAAAGTTAAACTCTTTGTACATGAAGACAGTGGCTTGGAGTTTTCTGTAATCACAGAAGCTTTATTAGAACAGGACTCTTGTCGTGAAGAGTTTTGCATTTTTAGCTCTTGAAGACAGCTAGGAATGGAAACTAAAGCAGCCAGTGGTGGTGACCACAACCCAGGAGCTGAAACCACACTCTAATTTTGCACAAAATTGCTAGCTCTGGCTCCCTTATTTACTTATGGCTTTTCATCTAGACGATGAGGATTACGTGTAGTTGTGTGTAAAATAACATCTTGAAACTAGACTAAGAAACCATTTAGCCCTCAGTTATTTGTTCTAACCCACAAAATGTCAGTATAAACATTTTCTAACATACTCATTGAGCTTCACTCTTTTGATATCAAAGTTGATTTGATCATGGGAAAGTCGGGGGGGCGGGAGAGAGAAAAAGCAAAGTGACACCCAAGAAAGATGAAATGGGGGAAGTGGAGAAGGGAAGAAGTGGAGCGGTAATTAAGAAGTACTCGTTTAGAAAAAAAAATTGGGGGGGGGAGAAGCACATACCTGGAGGTGCTCAGTCATCCTCCCAGCAGTTCTCCAGGGGAGCAGAGTGGTTGGGGCTTTGTTATTCACAGCACAGGTTTCAGCCCTGTAAGCAACCTCCATAATCCTTAGAGAAAAACTTGAACTTACTTACATTGACTTATATGAATATATTGGTTACTCTGGGAATTGACAATATGTTAAAGAAAATGGGAGTAGTATATTTAAAGACCAACTACCTACCTTATTGAGCCAACTTGCTCTTGAAATTTGGCTAGCGAAGCTTAACTTGTTTAGATTTTTCATCTAGAAACTACTCTTAGGGCTTAATAAATTAAAAACTACTCTTGAGGACCCAGAGAACAAGGGGATCCCCAGCACTGCATGACTTCCCCAGCATCCACAGGTGTAGCCCTGGAGACCCAGTTCTGCAAAGACTGAGCAGCACTACATCTGTGGATCCTATCTCGAACTGCTAGCCCTCTGGTTAGCTGAGAATCACTGGCAGGAATCCTCAAGCCCCTTGACCACCGCTTGAGAATAATGCCCCTCTGAACCAAATTAGCACTGTCTACTGTCCTCTCACTGGTCATCAATTTGCTCGAGCAGGCACCAGTAACATCTCCATTGTGAGACTTGTTACTGTTTTTGATATATCAAATACACCATGGGCAGCTTGCCAGGCTTTGCCATGCAGGAGGGATACTCTCGGTAGCTTGCCAGGCTCTCCAAGAGGGATGGAGAAATCGAACCCGGGTCGGCCGCATGCATGGCAAATGCCCTACCCGCTGTGCTATGGCTCCAGCAGTCCGAACCAAATTAAACAACAACAAAAGACTAATAAAAACGACTCTTGGGACTGGGGAGAAGGCTAAAAAGGACTGAGTCCTTGCTTTTCACATGAGAACTCTGTGTTTGATACTTAGTTCCACAGGGTCCCCCAAACATGACCATGAAAGACCTCTGAAGCACAAAACTGGGAGTAAGCCCCACGCACTGCCAGGTGTGCCCCCAAATCCAAGAAAACCCAGATCAAAAAGTTGCTCTGGGTAGATTAAAGAAATTTCATTAAGAATTTGAGAGTGAAGGGCTGGGTAGAGCACATGCATTGCATGCAGAAGACCTGAGTTCAATCCCTGGCATCAAAGGGTTCCCCAAACAACACGCCTGAAACAGGCCCCGAGCACTGTAAGGCCCCAGACCAAACAATTTCAAAGCGCTGTCTGCCTTCTGTTATGTAGCTTGGAGTTCATTAACACTCACATAATCTAAACAGAAGAGTCAACACTATTCTCTGACAAATATGACTTATTACTTGACTTTATATGTAGTATAGCTTCAAGATATAGTTGTTAAAATGAATAAGGGGCTGGGAATATAGCTCAAAGGGATGGAGCACATGCCTGGCATGACACGCCTGTCACTCCAGCTCTTCTGCCCCCTTTTCAGTGTATAGTCATCAGATGTGGCCATGATGGATCCCAGCAGTGATGGGCCCAATTATCTAACCATCAAGCCTGTTGCATCTGGTTGAATTTGGCCAGAAGTGACCCCCCACCCTGCCCTTCCCCCAGCACTGCTGCATGTAGCGCCTTTTAAAAAATGCATAAGTGAATGATTAGAAAACACATGGAAAGTGGAACTTAGAAATGAGCTCAGCAAAAAGCTTTGATATCATTTACCAAAAATGTTTGTTTTGAGGCTTACATTATTTTAAAGTTTATATTTTGCTTGGGCTAGAGATTAATACACTGGGTAGGGCACTTGCTTTGCATCCAGCTGATCTGGGTTTGATCCCTGATACCACATTATGGTCTCCTAAGCCTTCCAAGAGTGATCCCTGAGTGCAGAGCCAGATGTAACCCCGAGAACAGCTGAATGTGGTCTTTACTGCCCCACCCCCCAAAGATTTGTATTTGGGCATAAAAGGCAAAGATTTTAGAAAGAAATTCCAGAAGAAAATCCCAGAAATTTAACATTTAGAGGACAAACAATGTACACAACAACAACTGTGACAATGACTTTTTAATGCAATTTATTTGAAATGCTTCCAGAAAAGTTTAAGGCCATTATACAAAAACATCCAACTTATCAAAACGTTCCTTGACTTTCCTCTCAGAGGCTATCATTTGACAGACCTCCTTTCTCAACACATTGGCCAAAGGGGCTGATGCCTCCTGCAAAGAATGATTCATTCTTTTCTCCACCATGAAACAACTCTCCATGGCTTTCCTCTGCCTCTCTCTGCAACAGGTCCATGTTCTTGCTAAGTCCGTAACAACTTAGAAACAAAGCAGTTTTAAATAAACTTGTAATAGAAAAAAATTCATCATGTTTAAAATCTATAAATACAGAAATACGTTTTACAGGGCAAAATTGACCACAATATCTTTTGTTTTTTGAAAAATAAGTAATATACCTTGCATTTTTACTGATAAATCTTGTTACATAGCTTCTTCGAATGCATAGGATAGATGTACATAATAAAACAACAACATAGTATTTACTGCTTTCCTTTCTGTAAACTTGAAAGACACAGAAGATTACAAAAGAAACTTTTTTGGCAATAATTTAGAATCATTACTATGAGTGCTGGTGTGGGTATAACTTTGCACAGATTATCCTTAATATTTACACTTGTTGGGAGCTTTTCTGCGTAGTCAGAGAATGTTTCTTAGTAAGGTCTGTGACCCTCAGTGCGCTGTAAATCAAGGCTGGACAAAGAGGTTACTAGTTTGGCTAGCTCTTCCTTATTAATCACAGTTAATGAAGATGGCCTTGGGAGAATATAATTATGATTCTGATCAGCACAGAGCCAGAGCTGGCAAACGAAGACCCGAAAACCAAGTGGGAAAACCCAGGGCTCTGGCCTTTCCTGCAAGGGCAGCCAACCTTGCCTTTCTTCTTCAATGTTTCTCACATAAGGTCATGATGCAGTTCTTCTCAGTTTTTCTTTCCACGTATTTCTGTAAGCAGAGTCAGTGACTGGGTCACAGTTCTTCTTTCCTCATCTCTTCCTTCAAACTTTAAAATATGTTGGCCTCAGCAGATAAAACAAGAGATGGTATCATTTTGTAATCCCACCAGGCTGCCTGGGCCCTTGCAGTTCTTTTCCACTGTCTTAGGCTCGAAGTGGCTTTCTCACACAAGCTGGTCACGATGGTAGAGCCCTGCTGGTGTGAGGTACTCTGCATTGCAAGATCCAGAGCTGACAGCTGCTTTTGTGCTCGTCCGTTTAAGGTCAGACTCTATCTCCTGTCCCAGGAGATGTTTGCATCGGATCTGTACTGATGAAATTACAGGGTCAAGACAGTGTTGCTTCCTTTGTAAAATTAATCCTCCAGAATCCCCAGGAATGATTTTGTGCATTCTAGCTGGATAATATCGAAATATGTTCACTCTAAGCACTGATCTTTTACAGCTCTTCTTTGGGTGCCATTGCAATACATGAGTGACTTCCTCATGCCCTGTCTGCAGGGCTCTCAATTCCAGCCCTTCAGTTACCATGTCAAAGAGCTTAAGAAAGCATTTGAGGAACACACAGGGACTCTTCCAACAATCTACATGAAACAGTAGTTTAGAGATCTTATTTCCTTCAATTTTTTTTTTAAATCCAGCAGGACAACTGAATATAACTTGTTCAAGTACCTCTCCATCCATCCTGACACTTGTGAAATACAATACAGGGTAAGAGTTGCCAGATGCCAGCTTATCCAAACAGAATGGCAGTTACAGTACTAGGGATAAAGGTACAGATACAAGAGACTGGGTCACCACAGTCATCAAAGGATTAAAAAGTGCTTCTCCAAACCGTTCCATGTGTGGAATGCAAATACTTGTACAGGTAAGACACAGGGCTACTTCTGGGAAGTACACACACTTCTGTCAGACGTTGCTTTCAACAGGCGTTCCATTCCCACAGGAGGAGTCTGTCTGTTCCATGCGTTCACAGTCAAGGCTGACTTCACTGGTGTCCATGCTACAGTCAGACTCACTGTCCGATTGGTCCATCTGCTCAAGTTTGGATTCTCTCTGTGGCTCTCTGCTACCAGAGGTGGGGCTGAGAAATGGTCCCTCGGAGTCAAGCACCCCCACCTGCCCAGCTGCACACAGGACTGTCTCTTTGGCTTGACGAATACAGTTGAGCCACTGCTGTTTGTTGAAGCTGTCGTTAGCCTGGAGCGAGTGAGTCTGGCTTTGGGATCCATTTTTGAAACTTACTCTGAAGAAGTTTTTAACTAGGAATGAAAAACACATGGGAAAAATGGTTAAGAGAGAATTCGGAAGGCAAAGAAAAGTGGGGTGGGTAGCAAGTGGAGAGGCTCTAACCCTGACCCCTGTTCCTAGCGGCCAACACCACAGATTGGTTACAAAATGTGACACAGCTCAGCTTACTCAGCCGCTACCACCAGACAACTATAGTTGATACAGGTTGAGCTCAGTTGCCATCAGACACTTGCAAATGAGTATCACAGCTCTGAGCAACTACATCTTATGTTTCAGGGGACCCCAGAGGACTAGTTACCAAGTCCAGCTGCCTATCAAAATTCCCTGGAGAACTTGTTAAAAATATAGGCTGCGGGCTCTATCCTTAGAGATCTGGATTCAGTAGGTTAAGGTGGAACTGAAAAATCTGTATTTTCAACAGATGTTCTAAGCTAGAGCTTTTTCAAGTTTATGAAGCTCTTCATAATACTAAAAGTATGCTCACAGTCCTCCATTCAATGGTACCTACGCATTTAACATTACAAATGACTGAGACAATAGGCAAAGGCACAATTTTTTGGGTGTGTATTGTATAAATCGTATAAAGTTATTATACAATTACAAAAATTGAATTATGTTGCATTTATTTTCATTTTGGGGTCACGCCAGTGATGCGCAGGGCTTACTTCCGGCTCTGCACTCAGGATCACTCCTAGCAGGGCTTGAGGGACAATATGGGGTGCCCAGGATTGAATCTGGGTTGGCTATGTGCAGGGCAAGCCCTCTACTCTCTGTATTATCTCTCCAGGCCCTCAGTTATATTTAAAGTACTTCAACAGAAGTTATATCCATTTAAAAATAATAGTGCATGGTCTGGAAGACATTTTTTGTTGTTTAATAACAAAATACAATATTTAATGGGCCCTGCATGCAGTGTGCAATATAGAGTTCACAGGAGCAACTGCACTCAATCCTCTTGCTCTACCGTCTCTGTAGTCAACAATCTTGAAACCAACAGTTCACATCAATTTGGGCTCCATTCTTTGCTCCTGGTCAAGACCCTTAACTCCTTTATATCTCATTTCATTATTTGTAAAACATGAGAAATAAAGAGAATATCTCTTATATGGTTACTATGGAAGATAAGAGAGCTAATACAAGTAAGGGCTTACATAACGTCTGACGTGTAGTCAGTATTCAAGAAATATTACAGCTGCTGCTTCTGCTGCTGTCACTACCACTAGTATGGAGGAAATGATGAGGGAAGAAAAGGCAGTATCTATTAAATAACTTCACTATAAAATAACAATGTTGGTGCTGGAGAGACAGTACAGCAGATAGGGTGTTTGCCTTGCACCTAGCTGACCTGGTTCAATCTCCAGCATCCCATATGGTCCATTGAGCACCATCAGGAGTATATCCTGAGTACACAGTCAGGAATCATGCCTGAGCATCGCAGGGTATGACTCCAAAACCAAAAATATTAAAAACAAAAAACAAAAAAAAAAAAAAGAAAAACCCAATGTTAACCCGAGGCTCAAATGTCACTTCTTCAAAAGCTTCCCTGGTCATTTAATCTAAAATAGACTTCCTATTGCTACTTCTATCTATCTCTCTATTGAACTTTAGTTTTCTTAACAGTACACAGATTTGCTTTTGTTTGTGTACCATGTATTTCTTATCTCATACTGTAAGCTTCAAAGAGGCAAGAATTTTAAGTTTTTTGTTCATCAATATATATCAGCTCTTAGCACTGTACCTGTCACATAGGTGATACCAGATTAGACACTGCTATCTTAGTTTATCTTGGTTACATGCTTACTAAGTATCAAATTAGAGAGGCCCACTTGAGTAGCTACTGAGGAACTCTCAGGCCAGTTTACAGTTCTTCTATCTTTTTAGAAATGAGTTTGCCAGCTCAACTGAAAAAATCCACTGTTATGTAACCTGTAATTACATAGGGCCTCTGTGGTATTCATATGCTTTTACCCAACAGGAGACAGAGAAGGCGGGTATTGTGGTGGTGGTGGTGGGGTGCCTATAAGGAAAACCAGTTATATATGTGCACAGTTTTACCTGCAGTCTCTTTCTTAATCTTTATCACAATATGAAGCAGGCACACATGTATGCATCCCTGCCTTGCATATAGGAAACAAGCTCCCAGAGATTGAACAAGGGCACCTATTAGTAAGGAGTGAGTCAGACTGCTGTTTTACTCCAAAACTCCTCTCTCCAACTGGCCATCCCAACCACAACCAAAGATAATGCAACAGGTCAAAATGGATGCCATACATACTTCTTTCGTTGTTGCTGAAAGCCCCACGCAGCGAGCCACCCAGCCTCACTTCTCCATCTTGCAAGTCTTCTAGTAGCAGATCCTTCACCGGGATGGGCTGCCGGTACAACTGGTAGCAGAGCTGTTCGTTGTGGGTGATGGCTCGTGTGATCACAAGCACTTCTTGGAAGAGGAAAACATGCAGTTTCTGGAAGAAAAGAAGCCACAGATCTCCCTAAGCAACAACCTAGTGATGAGTTCACTAGTGGCTCTCCATGGGCAAGAGAGCCCATCCCAAGTTTCACTTTGAATTATGGATTTCTACATCAACTCTACCTGCAGCGGCATACAGAAGTTGTCAGAGTGGAGGCATTTCCAGATTCTTCTAGTACTAATACTACAGGAGTACCTCAATATAATAGCACTCTGAAGCCCCACTGAAGACAATATTTCTATAGACAGACACCCCTGCAACCAACCTCCAACTCCAGAATCACTATTCGAGTTGCAAGTTACAACCTGTGATGATGCACATAGCTTCAGGCTTCCATTAAAAAAAAAAAAGAAGAACAGAGAGAAGGGAATAGAGTGAAAAGTGGGATTTGGAAGAGAAGTCCCTGAGTGCAGAGCCAGGAGTAAGCTCTAAGCGCAGCCAGTATGGCTCAAAAACCAAATGAAATAAAATAAAATAAAAATAAAGTGGGGTTTGGTACCCCTGGATTTGGTTTATGATACCTAACACTTCTGAAGGATCAAAAAATGAACAATAGTCTATAAAGATTAGGACTATAAAAAACCTATGATTAATCTTTTCTTCTCAAGCCTGTAAGAATACTTATTCCTTCAACCATAGATTATCAGCTTGGATCAGGCATTCCAACTCAAAACACTGCCCATTACTGAGGAAACCAGAGCTTGCTGCCGGGGCCATAAAGGAAGATGATCAAAGTTGTCCTAAGTTAAATGTCCTAAGTTAAATCAGAGCCTTGATTCTCTGAAGAGACTGCACTTAAAAGACTGCACAATGACTGAAGTGTGGTGGTATGGGAAAAAAAAAAAGGTTCATTTCAAACCACATCATGAAAGCAACTTTACTTGCTGGGTGAAGCTGGAGTAAATTGTTACAAGTGCCAGTCTGAAAATGCTTGGGAACTGAAGTGAAAAAAAAAAAATCTAAATTTTGTAGTTAAGTTTTTGGTTTTCTAGTAGAAATACTTGGGACTGTATTTCTCAAAGGTCTCAAAGAGGAGTCCAGAAGATCAAGCCAGGCATAAGGTAAGGGCTGTCACTGTCACTGTCCTCTCGTTGTTCATCAATTTGCTCGAGCGGGCCCAGTAACATCTCCATTGGAGACTTTGTTGTTACTGTGTCTGGCATATCGAATACATCATGAGTAGTTTGCCAGGCTTTGCCATGTGGGCAAGATACTCTTGGTAGCTTGCCAGGCTCTCTGAGAGGGGCGGAGGAATCAAACTTGGGTCGGCCATGTTGGCTGCGTGCAAGGCAAACGCCCTACCGTTGTGCTATCGCTCCAGCCCATAGAGGGGTAAGGGCAGGGAGTCACAATCTTGATTTGGAGTAATATACATATATATATACATATATATATATTCAGACAATTTTACTTTGGGAGAAAATTCTACTGAGAAAGGAAAAAATAAGTAAAAAAAAAAATCCCACTGCCAACTTCTACTTTTGTTCTCAAAAATATATCTGCCTGCAATATGAACTAGAGTTTCTTTGGGTCTGGGGTGGTAGGACAGATCCCTAGGTATCATATATGCAAAGCATATGCCCTACCACTGAACTACATTCCCAGCTAGAATACATCTTTAATGCCCTTCCCACAATCCACACAGTCTTCAGTCCTTAGCTGAAAGAGAACAGGCCTTCATCCAAAGGACTGAGTCACTTTCCCAACTATCTACAACAAAGTTTCTGAGAAAATATGGTGAGGGAGCCAGATATCAGACATTGGTTTTCACTAGTGCTTTGTGAAAATCAGTGAGAAGCAGAATTCAGCTCCCAGCAACAAGTAGTTCTCTGGATAAAAAGAAGCATTTCATAGGCAGTGGAATCACCTCCGTGCCACCTCCAGTTGATTGGCTTTATAGAAGTCCTGATATTGTGGTACTGTGATATGTGCTAAATGATTTCAAGTAACATTTCTAAGTGGTGGGGCCCAAGTACTAGACTGTCAGGACTTACTGCAGGGTTGGGTATTGCCTGGAGCAGCCCCTGGGCCCCGGAGCCCCAGGTACTCCCTGGGGTGGTACCTTCTCCAGAAAAGAGTTGGCAGATATTGAAGATGAAATACAATTTAAATGGAAATCTTTTTATGGAAATTTTTTTCTCAATGGCTTTCTTAATATTGAAATCCATTGACATTTAGATATATTTAAGTATATATATTATCACATGAAACATAAAAATTATATACACACATTAGTATTAATTTCTACTGGCTACACATATACAGCTTGAAGAGAAAAAAAATGTTGCAATTATAATTTAAATCCATCTCCTTCTTTTACTCACTGACTCCTTGACCTTACATTACTAAGTGTTGAGAATGTGTTAGATCACCATTAAAAGTGCTTAAATTGACAAGGCATGTCAATTTAAGAATTCTTTTAAGACTTCCCTTTCTGTCAAAAAGAAGCTAGAAAATGGGATGTCTACAGTTTAGAGAGAGCTAGAGATAAGGCCAATAGAGTTTAGGTTACTATTTCCAAAAACAAAAACTTGGTCTCAATATGTCTTTCTGGAAATATGTGCTAATACATAAGAAAGTCTTTTCTTTTCTTCTTTTGGGTGGCACATCTGAGGGTTTACTCAGGGTGGTTCTTGAGGGATCATATGATATGCAGGGGACTGAACCCTGCTCAGCCGTATTGTTCTGCTTGCTGTGCTTCTTATAGCTTAATGCATTCAACTTAAGCATTACATTGAATTTAAGCATTATCTGTTTTCCTGTGATCTCTGTTAACATCCCATCAAAATCACCCATTTTTTCTGGTATCAAAGTAGAAGAAGATCGTGACATTTTGCATCTGTTAAGGAAGGTCATGATCAAACAAGATAAAAAGTTGGTACCCTTATGTTTGTTTTCAGTGTTCCATCTGAATATGTACTGCTCATGAAATTTTAAACACACACAATAAAATATACTTTATATAATACCTGAGTATAAATAATATATAACAAATTATAAATATTACATGTTTGTTATATATAATTAAACAAGCTATGTAAGACATAAAAACACAAACATCTGTATACACACATCCCCACGCAAAGATGAATATGTGAAATATATAATCCCTGATATAAAGGACAATGGGAAAGCATTTTTGTGTAAAGAACATGACAGTGGATAGAGAAGACATAGTAACAGGAGGCCCAGCAACAAATGGATTAAGTGTTGGGGGAGACTCAGACTGAGACAGAGGAACTACTCACCACGCCTCTGTTGTTCTTCAGTTCACCATGACAACACAGCACTCTTGAACTGTCGATCAGAGCATCTTTCTGGCCTTCTTCCAAGTAAAGAAGTCGCTCTTTATAATAGCGGCATTCAGATTCTCCAGTCTTGGTGTTGATTTCTGCCACAATTCCCTGAATGATGTTTATCTACAGAAACAAAGAAGAAAGTATGGGGAAATTAAGCAACTCTTCCATACAGAGTCACAGGGTCTAAGCCAAGTAAGTCACCAAGATAGGCTTGGATCAAATTCTGAGCTGCTTTGGGAAAGGGTAAAAAAGGTAAATTTTAATATACCATATGTCTATTCATCCATGTACATATACATATAGACAAGCATATATGTGTATGAGGGCTGGAGCGATAGCACAGCGGGTAGGGCGTCTGCCTTGCACGCAGCCAACATGGCCGACCCGAGTTCGATTCCTCCGCCCCTCTCGGAGAGCCCGGCAAGCTACCGAGAGTATTCGATATGCCAGACACAGTAACAACAAAGTCTCCAGTGGATACGTTACTGGGCCCGCTCGAGCAAATCGATGATCAACAGGAGGGCCTTTACTTACTTTACTTTACTATATGTGTATGTATACAACATACATATTACTACAGGTCTATAGATATTTGCATTACATATAAAACTATATTTCATCTTTTTAATCTGATTTTAGGCACTGTAGTTTACAATACTGTTAATGATATGATTTCATGTACGATACATTCCCAAATCACACACCCTCCACCAGAGTGCCCACTTCCCTCCACTCTCGTCCCAGTGTTCTCCCTACCCCCTGACCTATTCCCTCCCACACTTCTCTCCCCTCTGGTAAGCTTTGTACTAATGATCAGTTCTCAGGTTCTGTTGTCTTTGGGTATTTATTAAACCCCTACTTTCTTTCTTTATACCCTACTTAAGAGAGAGATCACTCTGTGTCTGTCCTTCTCCTAACTACATTCAGCGTGATGCTCTCTATACCCATTCACATAGCAGCAACTTGCATGATCTCATCTTTTCTAAAAGCTGAGTAGTATTCCATTGTATATATGTACTGTAGTGAAACTAATGCCTAGTTTGAACTGTGAAGATGAGCTTAAGGTACAGTTTTTAATGTGCAGGAATCATAACTAATAGGCTCCATGTTGCATATACTGTTAATTAAAAAATTAAGGAAGACAAAACAAGGATAACATGGAGACATTATCAGTGGACATTTATTCTGCAGTGATGTTTTATCACATGAATAATAGGACTAAAAAGTCAGAAAACACTATAAAACAAAGAAGTGATAAATTAGTTGAGCAAAAACTTAGTGAGCACAATCAAAGGCAAAGTAATGACTTCCTTAGCAGGATATTCTGTTCCCTAAGAGTGAAAAGCCCAATAGTTCCATCTCTCTAGCAGTGGCGTAAACTGAAAAGCCATGGTGAGAGATACTAGTAAAACTTCTTGGCCACATTTAAGAGAAAAACAAAACAATCTGTGAAAAGCAAGGTTTCAAAAGAGGCTTTTACTGAACAAGAAACTACCAACTCCTATAATTTGTTAAAGTGGTAGTGAATTCTAAGACTTAAGAGATTACTTTTAACAAGTTAGTGATATGGTATCTTCTGTCCAAAGAAACAGGAATGAAGAATGAAAAATTCTACACAGTAGTCTCTGGTAGCAAGTTTGGGAGAACATTGTAAGGTTCTGAACTAAAGTCTGGTGACTGTACCCTATGGACAGAAATATAATCTCTACACTTCAGTAGCTACTAAAGTTCAAATATTATTTGTTGTTTCCTAGTTCTCAAATTTAAATGGGAGTACTACTTTGATGAAAAAATAACACACACCGCTGAAAGTAGACTAAGGACCAAACATGATGGCCTCTCAATAGCTGTATTGCAAATCATAATGCCCAAAAGTAGAGAGAAAGAAGAAAGGTGCCTGCCACAGAGGCAGGGGGTGGGAAGGAGTGGGGGTGGCAGGAGGAATGCTGGGAACACTGGTAGTGGAAAATGCACACTGGCGGAATGGATGGGTGTTTGATCAATGTAACTGTATCTCATGGTGATTCAATAAAAAAAATTTTTTTAAATGATCACATGATCACATGATCATCCTGTTGTTCGTCGATTGCCTTGAGCAGGCACCAGTAACATCTCCTTCGTCCTAGCCCTGAGATTCTAAAAAGTGCTACATTCAAGGCTCTTTCAGGGTTAGGAGAATGAGACCCATCATTGTTACTGGTATTTGGCATATTGGGTACGCCACGGGGAGTTTGCCAGACTCTGCTGTAATAACACATATTATTAAAGAAAATACCAGGCTCTTAGTATCATAAATGTAGATCTTCAGTCTTTGATATCAGTCTGATTTACTGAAAAGAAATCATGTAAAATTAGACTGATTTTTCTATTAACACCTAACAAGCAATAAGTAGAACACTTTGGTATACAAATTTTGCCTTTGTTTCTGTCCCCGGTGGTTTTAAAAATTATCAAAAACAAAACCAAAAAAAGTCACAAAATATGCTAAAACTATGACTCCTTAAATTCAAATTAATGCAAATTGAGCACCTGTTCATTGTTAGTCTAGATGGTCACATGGAAAAAATGAGAGAGCTTCTTGCCCTCACAAAGCTCTAAAATATATGGTAGGGGGCTAGAATCAGGGGCTGAGTACTTAAGGTGCTTGCTTGCCTTGCATTAGGTCGATCCCACTTTGAATTTCAGAAACTACATTTGGTACCCTGAGCACCACCATGGGTTATTTCTGAGCTCAGAACCCTTGAGTACCTCTGGGAATGGCTCCTAACACCCTCTCCACCAAACATATCTGGGAGGTTTCTGTGCATTTGCTTATCTTATCCCTCTGAAGCTGTAAATATTTATTTTGGAGTGTTGGGCATTAACCACAGGGCATCACACATGCAAGACATGTACTCCACCACTTGAACCACATTCCCAGACCCTTTAACATTATATTTTAAATATATAAGGAAAATCATACGTTTTACCTTGCTTCAGTATTCATTTCTGTGGCTCAGCTTATCAATGAACTATTACTAGATAAACCTGGACAGCTAGAATTAACTAATAGTTGAGTCAATTTCCTGAACTTTCTGCAAGTATTCTGGAAACCGAAAGAAGATGCAAAGCAGGCAGAAACACATATTCACTTCCTAAATTAACTCAGGAACTGAACAGCTGGCATACTACACAAAGATTAATGAACTCAAATGCCACAGCGGGTTCCTAGAGCAGCTTTGACTACTTTCAAATGCCGCTTCGTTCTATGATGATTTAAAAAAATGTAAAGATATAAAATAATGGAAACCATATATTCTATAGTTTAGGTGTCTGTATTAACATGAAGAACTCTCAGTCTCCATTTATTAAAAAGCACTGTTTTGTGTATATATACTATCCCACAAACAAGGAGAGTTTAATCCTTCTCCACTAGCTTCTGAGACGGATTCATTATGCAGAATTACTTCAAGGAGTAAAGCTATACATAGCAAATTATCAATAGCAATCAGTTGTGGTAGTTTTGAGTTAAGGGAAATTTTTTTGCTTCTCTCATCGGGATTCAAACTGAAAGGAAAGGACAGGTGAAGGAGATGATGAGGGACACCTGGAACAGATCAAGGGTTAAGTCCCCATAGGCTGGAATCCCCATCCTCAAAGTGCTCTCTGAAAGCCTCGCGTGTCTAGTCACTTATGTGGTAGTATCATCTATTCACTGGTTCCTAATAAGAAGGAAGAGCAGCAACTTTCACTGATTTTTACATTAAAAGCAGGACAGTTCCTCCTACTGATACCAATGATTGTGTGGGTTTGTATGTGTGGTTGCTTGTTTCCAGGTGATACCTGGTGGTACCCACGCAGCTGGAACAATGCTAGGGCTAGTCACCAGCAGTGCTCAGGGGCCAAGTGGTGCTGAGGACCAAACTTGGGTCTCCTGCATGCCATGCACGAGCACCAGCTCTTCGAGCTACTTCCCCAGCCCTCTGATGACTTTTATTTTTTCAGGAGCTGGGAAGCAGTGGTGAGGAGAAAGAAGAGACATCTGCAGGGTCGTTTTCTGGGTAAAGCAGTCCTTAGAATTTATAACATAAACAATCAGATCTAAGGATTATTTGCACATCCAAAGTCCTATTTTAAGAATTTCTCTTTTGGGGACATTCCTATAAGCCTTCCAAAATACTTTTAAGAAATCCTAATAAGATATGGTAGCGTATGCACTGCTTTAAACAAGAGCTTTCTTTAAATCTAATCATAGAACTGAATGCTTGGGTAGAAGCAATATACTTAGAATTCTCTGATTTTTCCCTTTACATAAACGAAAATTTTATTCTGGGAACATAAGTCAAGCTACATTATTATTGTGGGTTTTCTGTTTATTAAACATTCACAATGTGCCCACAAGCACAGGGCTAAATATTTCTGCTCATCAAGAGTAACAACATAGGGATTTTGAAAAGAAGGGGAGAAATTGTCATGCCTACATTGTATAATTTGGCATTTAGAAAACTGGCTTTGCAGATATTCTCAAATACAGGTCTGCCAAGCTTTGTGCACAAATCTGCCTGAACAAACTATAGACCTGCTTTTGAAAATGGCATCACATTTTATGTACCAGGAAAGCTGGGGCCTCCTTTCCAATTGTAAACAACCATATTCTTCTCTATTTCAAAATTCTCTCGTGCTTGCTTTATTTTTTTTAAAAAACAGGACATTATTAAAAAGAATGTCCATTATTTGCTCCAGATTAAAAAGAAGAAAGCCTTATAGTAAAATTCAGAGCCTGTTCTTAAAAAAAATAATAAAAGTAATTATTTAGACTAGTTCGAGCTCTGTGTTGTTTTCATTTCTGCAGACCACACACTAGCTGGGATGAAATATGGAGAGGCAGCAACTCTATTGTTTGCTTCCTGGTAATAAAAACAGACATGATAAAGTGAGATGGTCCTCAATCCGGGTGCCTACATCACCGCTTGTGATCAATTGAGGATCTGCTCTGTTTATGCCAGACACACGGAACACCTCATGAATCAGGACAGTCTTTCTCCTCCTTCCTTTCTGCCTTATCCTAGCTGGATTCCACCCCAGCAAGACTGCCCCACAATGTCTAGAGGCCAGACTTCTTTCTGCAATTCCAAAGGCAACAGAGGCTTAAAGAGGTGGCAAAAGGGGCTGGAGCAATAGCACAGTGGGTAGGACGCTTGCCTTGCACACGGCCGACCCGGGTTCGATTCCCAGCATCCCATATAGTCCCCTGAGCACCATAGGGGTAATTCCTGAGTGCAGAGCCAGGAGTAACCCCTGTGCATTGCCGGGTGTGACCCAAAAAGCAAAAACAAACAAATAAATAAACAAAGAGGTGGCAAGGCTTTCAGCATCATGGTGTAGGATTATAAAGAAAGAGAAAAGGCATAGGAGTCATAGTTTACAGAGTCCCGATGTCAATTCTATCACCTGCAGGCACTGGACCTGGACAAGTCTCATCTGGAAAACTGTCCTAACATCCTAACAACAGCAGCTATTCCATAAGTTATGAGGAGGATTGAAAAAGAAAGAGACACATTACTCACAAGTCAATTACATAAAGCTGATCTACTTGGCATTCAGTAGGCCTTACTAGTGTTACTGCTTATTACTATAAATGTCCTCTCTGGGAAAAGAGGAAGTTAGTTTAGCGGTTCAAGGCTTCTGACTGTCAATTTTTTTATGCGTTTCTTCCTTCGGTCATTGCCCAGATCCAGTCTGGGAAAGAGCCCTGTGAGTGGGTCTCTTTGCCGCTGACCCCACTGTCACATCCTTGGGTTTCCAAAACTGGATACCTGCCCCATCACAACTTCTTCTCCCCTTGCCTCCCTGTCCTTGAGTCTCCTCCTCCTCCTCCTCCTCTATCTCCTGCTCTGCAGACAAAGAGATCAATATGCCCAAGGTTAAGGAGCTTATTAGTGATGGAGCTGCGATTTGAGCCCTGAATCCAAGCTACAGAGAATACAGAAAACAAACACAAGAAAAAAAAAGTCTGAAATTGTTATTTTAAAAAGCTTCTATGTGGGGCTCATCCTCATCCTTTGCCTCCCTTTCTAGCTACATCCTCAGACTCTCCCTGGCCCCAGGCAGACTGATCCATGATGACACTTTTCAGACAGGACCAGTCCTGTCTCACTCTTTGCTCAAACCATTCACTTGTGCTAGGCTGCCAGCTTCGCTGACCTACCCAGAAGAGCACGCCAATCAGCACTGAGCTTTCTGGGTGGAATGCTCACAGTTTGCAGTGTTCCTGTGATACGGACCCCACTTCTTCCTGGTGTTCAATAGCTGCAGGGGAAAAATCCATAGTGCCCTCTATTCAATAAACATTCTCAGTGTTTTGATGAGTTCTTCCACTGCAATCTGGCCTGGATCCTAGACAGGCTTCACAAATGGGCTTTGGAGTGCTGGTAAAAGGTAACTCCCCTTTGCTAACTAAGCCAGGATATTCCATTTAAAATCTTCCTAGAGATATTAGCCCTCAGCAATGGTAACCATTATAGTCATCTATAGAGAAATCAAGATGCTTTCAGAATAGCTGAGATCAACACCAGGAGGATTACTCCATAGCTTAGAGGCCAGCCGGGTATTCTAGGGGAAAGGACAGTTCAGATAGAGAAGGGAGCACCAAATGGAGGGTGTTTGGAGGATCCTCCCAGGAGGGGAGATGCAGGTTGAAAGTAGACTGGACTGAACATGTTTGCCACAAAATGCCTCTTTTGCTGACCACAACACCCAAAAGGAGAGAGAGAACAAAAGGGAATGCCCTGCCACAGTGGCAGGGGGGGATGGGGGGGCTGGGGGGGTAGGGATATAATCCATGGTGGTGGAAAATGGGCACTGGTGGAGGGATGGGTATTTGATCATGGTATGACCGAGATTCAAGCACAAAAATTTGTAAATCTACAACTGTACCTCATGGTGTTTCTAATAAAAATAAATTTAAAAAAAAGTAAAAAAAAAAAAAAAGATGCTTTCAGAATCAAATTGACCTTAGAGCTCATTTCAATATAAACACTGAGTTAAGAGAGAGAGAAGTGACTTGCAAAATCAAAATACATTTGATGGTGAAGTTAAGCTTGAAACCTCAGATTCCTGAGTTCCATTTTCCTGAGGACCCTTTACTCATCCACTTTCCTAATCCTCTAGATATAGTGAGTAGGAGTCGGGGAAGTTGAGTGGGAGACAGAAAGAAAGTCATCACTTACAGCTTCTTCCAGGTGCTGCTGATCTGGATTATCATTTGGTGTGTGCCTCAAGATTTCTCGAAGCAGTAGAGGGTATTTCACCAGACGGCTTCTTGGGATATCAAGGAAATTCCAGAGATCTAGTTTGCGGCTAAACGGGGATTCTAAACATCGCTGTAGAAAATCTTGAACTCGGTGGTCTTGTTTTTTGTGGTCCAGCAGAGCTTTGGCGGCTACTTGATTGCTGCAGTAGCTGTCATAGGAGCTGAGACAAGGCAGCTAAGAAAGGAACATCAAAAGAGAGTTGGAATGTTAAAATAACTGTGCTCTGAAGCTACAAGAAAACATCACTTGTTGCAACTGAACAAACACATAACTGGTCTCCACACTGGGCTATTACCCCTTTATCTGCCCGGCTGGAGGAGAAAAACCAGTGAAATCTTCAAATCATTATTAGGCTCTGGTTTCCTCACACAAAAGTAATTTTCTTAGCTGCATCATTACTTTTGTGGTTGTCAAATTCCTACATGGTTGGTTTGCATTTTCTGTCAGTCTAAGCTGAAAAAAAAATTATAATTCTTGCATATGCCTAAATTTTAGTGTTTTCCTAAATTGGAAATAAGGCATATGCACACAGTTCAGAGTTCTAGTATGCTGTCAGAAGAACTCTGTAAGGGTACTTCTTTAATAATTTAAGAAATAGTATTTACTTTTAAATTATTCATAAGAAATTTATCTAGAAGAGTTAACTCATGCATGCATCCACGTGTGTGCATATGCACACAGACACATACACGAAGGAGCCAGACTTTACAGCCTAGATGTCTGCATGGTACAAGCACCTCTACATAGATTAAGGTCACTGGATTCAAAGGTGGACTCGTAATAAAAAAAAAAGTTGTAAAAAATTTTAAAAAATAGAGGTTAGAAGTGTTTAGAAAGATGCCTTAAACTTTCTGATAGACCCTTAATCATCGAATCAATTGCTTTTATGCAATGGTTGACCTCACAACACATTCACCAAACAACTCAAGACTTTGAAACCCTGAAAACCTAAGACTCCACCATTTCACTTCTAGTGCAATACTAGTTTCCCGAACATGTCGCATCCATAACACAGCAAAGTGCAAACACAAAGTCAGAGATTTAGTGAAAGGGCTGCCCATCTTTCTTTCCTCCTCCTCTCTCTTTATGGCATCCAAGACTCACCACCCTGATACATGAGTTGCCAGCTTCCATGGAGTTACCAGAGGAGACAGAATGCAGCCAATGGTCCAACGGTTGGTTTCTCTCAACAGTGACTACAGTCACTCCAAATCATGCTTAGTCGAGGCAAGGGAGCATTTTCATTTCCGCCTCCCAGTGATTTACACTGGGCCTACTATCCAGTAGACATTCCAAGTTTGCGTTCTGCTTACACTAATACATAACTATTTAATAGGCTGCCAGATTAGGAAGTATTTGATGGTTTGCTTACAAATAAGTTGTGCCAGCACTGTACAAACCAACTAGCTAATTATAGCAGCATCCGAACAATAGGTTAAAGTAAAAGAACTAAGCAGCAGTTTCTCTTAGTTCTCCTAGTGAAATAATTCAGGGACTGAAACAAACAAAAATACCGTGGAAGTGATGTTTAAGAAGTTCACTGCTGAGTTTAACATTCCTTGGAAATGTCTACCTTCCTTACATGTTATAAAAAGAAAAACCAGAGCAACCCTTTATTTCTCTATTTGTGTTAAAAAGAGCTGAAGAAATTATTTCTGCAACCTTATATTTGAAAGTAATGATAATTGGTACTTACACACACACACACACACACACACACACACACACACACACCTCCCAGATGTGGTATTATGGCTTGTAATTTAGATTTTTAGAGTTAATTAAAAGGAGCCTCAGGTCCTCTTAATTTCATTTCCACTTCCTCGCCTCTTAAAAAGGCCGGGAAATGCCCAATGTTTTCATTACAAGAAAACAAATCAACAGTAACCATTGGATGTGAATTATCGAAGAAAGCCAGCCACAATGCTGCCCACCGTCCAATGGGCCATTGCTCTCTCTGATCCTGCCGCCTCTGCTGCTATGGCAACCACACTGAGCTCCAGTCCTGCATTCACACCTGACAGAATAGAATGCTCATTTCCTGAGCAGGGCCTCAGAGGCTGTCTGGTTTAACCCACTGGCTAGAAAAGACCACAAGTATAAACTGACAGAGAATGTAAAAAGTGGGTCCCTAAATACATACACTTGCTTCTAGATGCTGTGAGAGAGGATAAGGCAGTGGTTAAGAGGACAGGCTGTGAAACCAGGCATTTTCAGAACAAGGTCTAACTCAGTTACTGGTCAGGAAACCCTTCTGAGTTTCATTTTTTCTACTTCCCAAAGCATATACTGACATCCTCTTATGTTTTCATAAAGTAAGGTAGATAAATAGTGTAGCATGGCACTTGGATCCTGGTTAGGAGTTCATACTAGCTATTATTGCTATCCTAGACCATTTTTTTAATTAAAAAAAAGGTAAAGGCCCTCCCGTTGATCGTCGATTTGCTCGAGCGGGCCCAGTAACGTCTCCATTGGAGACTTTGTTGTTACTGTGTCTGGCATATCGAATACTCTCGGTAGCTTGCCGGGCTCTCCGAGAGGGGTGGAGGAATCGAACTCGGGTCGGCCATGTTGGCCGCTTGTAAGGCGAACGCCCTACCACTGTGCTATCGCTCCAGCCCTTTTTAATTAAAGCAATCATAATTTAAAGATACTAAACTCTTTGCTCAGTAGGAGATAAACTGAAGCATATTCTTTGCTCACCCTTCCCAGCAAAGCTTGAAGCTATTCAACATCTCTTTAAACAGACTATAAAGAATTTATTATGGAAATTCATTTTTCTTCTTTTCCTTTTTATTTTATTTTTTCTTTTTGGGTCACCCCGGCTTTGCACAGAGGTTACTCCTGGCTCGTGCATTCAGGAATTACTCCTGGCGGTGCTCAGGGGACCATATGGGATGCTGGGAATCAAACCCGGGTCTGCCGCGTGCAAGGCAAATGCCCTCCCCGCTGTGCTATCGCTCCTGCCCCATTCTTTTCCTTTTTAAAAGAAATTCTTTCTATGTCTGTAACATGGAAACCACACAGAGCTCCAGTCCTGCATTCACACCTGACAGAACAGAATGCTCATTTGAAAAGTTAAAGAAAAAATTTAAAAGTTAGATTTTTTCCTTTCATTTCTTTCATTCCATTCCTGACTCTCTCTTTGGAATTAAAGTTTAATTAGAACCCAAATTAACATGACAACTTGTCCCTTAAAGAGCTTATAAATTATTTTATTACTGGAAAAAATTGATAGTCTGAAGATAAGTTGCTTGGAAAATTGCTCCTTTCTCTTTTTCAGGTTTTTTAAAAAACAGCTTTTTAAAAAACTTAATGTATATATAATAGGAAACTGAAAAACAAAAAGCAAAGAACAAAATCATACACAATTACAAGCAGTTCTGTTTGACATCCTTCTAGGTCCTATTTAGGAAGTTGTTTCTTTATGGCAAGGAAGGCCCAGGAGAATAGGCTGAGCCATGCGGAGGCTGATCCACAGTAACCAAGGTGGCTGGGAGGAAACCCACACTGTGTAAAGGTCTTCAAAGTGAAAGTAATTGATTCATTCTAAGGTCAAAAGGACTGACCAGGGTTGTCCACTTGGGAAGCTCACTTGTTTGAAAGGTTTTCTCCCCTCCTACTTTTTCCCTTTGGGGGCAAATAAATCAATTTTTCATGGATTGCCTGGGCTCTGACTTTTCTCATTCAAAGTCCACTAAGATGTTTATTTTGTTCTGTTAAAAAAGCCAGAACTCAAACAGATGTACCTCTTGGTTTACAGTTCCCACTCACAAGGACACATCTGCAGTTAAAAGAGGGAAAACATTTAACAGCTCATCGGGTCTGATAAATAAGGGCCAGTTCTCATGAAGACTGGTAACAATGGGCCACTTGTTAAATATTAGGCTGCTCGTCAAGCTACAAGTCTCCATTTGAGGTCTGAAAAGTTCAGATAGCAATGCACCAGCATGGCCATGCTTTCTTCGTCTAATGACAATAAGGGATAGCAAAAGCCATCCTCTCATCAAACCAAATTTCTGAATAAAAGTGACATCTGTTTCAGAAAAAAAAAATTCACTAATGCTTCTGGAATAAACAGAAAATCTATATCTGATGCCTAAGTAAACCACATAGCTGCTTAGAGCCATCTTGCCTCAAATTGAGCAGTTGGCAAATTTATTCTGGAGTGTGGCCTCTTTGGCCTCTTTACTTCCCATCAAAGCAGTCCACAGCCTCAGGAAGTTTAACAAATACAGAGACTGACTCTTGAGAGAGAGCTCAAAGGACTGGAGGTCTGGGTTTGATCCCCTGCTTCACCGAGTTCCAAAACATCACCAAGTGTGGCCGGAGCAAAAAAGAAATACTGAGGTAGACCACCTAATCTCATTTAAAATGTTCTGTTTCCAGCGGGTAGAATCTCTTTAGAGAAATTCTTTATGGGCCAAATCAGTTATTTTTAAAAAATCACCAGAACTCAGAACAAAATGAAAGTCAAGAGGATAAGATGAGTGATCACTCTTGAAATATTAAGGCTCATTTTCTAAATTATTTATCTTAGAACATTACTTGTCCTTCTGACACACCAGGGATATTTCGGCCTCCATACTAAAATGGTCTACTGAACAAAAGTTATCTATGTCAAGTAACCCTCAAAGTCCCCTGGTGGAAAGAAAAACTGGGAAGCAAAGACTATGATAAAGAGATCAACAACATGAAAATTTAGGTCCTGAAAGGTTTTTAAGGAGTTTAAAATACAAATGTAACTGTGGAAAGAGATCATGTCAACAGTATGATTTATAATCTTCATAATATACTAGACAGTGGAATGACTCTTAACACTTGCCAGTATGGTACATGCTGCTGATTTTTCCAGATGACGGTGTAGGCAGACAGATAACTGATTTTGCATGAAAGAAGTCATCAGGGTAATTTGTTTTCATTATTTGCTTTATAACAAATTAAGAACACTTGGAGCTGGGGTGGGACATTCAAGTACTCAAAGAAATGGAAATGTACAATTTGGAAGTAATGAGCACTGTGGCAGAACACAGCTCATGTCTTGTCTAAACTAAATTATAGTAATCAGCAACCACCTATGCAATCTGATAAAACACAAGTTCAGGGGCAGGATTATATATTTAAAATGTATATGTACATTAAATGTGTATATAAACATACAGGATTGGATATTTACAACTTAAGACTAAGCTTACAGTTTATTTCTTTGTTTAATTAGCAAAGGAAAAGCATTCCAGTGGGATAATTAGCACAATACCCTATTCATCTAGTAGTTACTTAGGATCAGATGTATACTAAATATTCACAACATTTGGTTCTGATCTTGTTAATGAAATTACATTTGATCATAAGCCTAAATAAAAGCTTTTTAGGTAATAGACAGGAATATATCCATGAATTTTTACTGGAATAAAAGTTCTAACAATATGGTAGCATCTGGCCTGAATATCAACCAGTTTTACATGATTTGATGTGAAACTAGAGTACCCTGTATGCCTTCATGGGGCTCAAGGGTTATATGGTGCTGGGTATTGAACCCAGCCTCACAAATGTTGGGCATGTGTTCTACCAATTGAGTCCCTCCCACTCCCACCCCATGCCTTTCTATTTAATTTACAGCACAAAGGTCATGCTATCTTTAAATAAATTTGGAGCAATTTTCAGTAACTTTTTAAGAAGAAAAATATGCTTTCATGCTTTGAGGAGATAAAGTCTTATATAATACTTCATTTTACGAGAAATTTAGTATTTGATCTTTTTTTAACATATGAATCCAATAATTTCTAAAAATCTAAATGAAATTCCATTGAAATTATTAAAAATTATCATTAAAACCAGAGAATTTTTCTTACCCAGCCCACAAGGATAGGCCCAACATATTCAGTTGAACCATCAGGTTTCCGAACATCTCGAAGCTGACTCAGGAGCGCTGATAAAAGAAAAAAAAAAGGGTGAGGGGGGAACAAAACAGAATTTGTTTTGTTAGACACTTGAATATGAACAAGACTAGGTTTTTCACATTGTTTCATAATCCTGAGTTGTTTAAGACAACTCAACTAAAGCTACAAGCCACGACTCATTGAGGGAATAAAATTATACCTTCATGTAAAGGAATGAGAGAGTCCAGTGTTCCAAAGATTTGATTCAACTCTTGTTCTGTCATGATGGAAAGTTTCAACATGGGGTCATGATAGGCCTGCACAAGAGGGGAAAAAGATGGGAACAGACATTGAAAAACAGGAAGTTAGTTGTTCATGTAAATGAGGTCTGACACAGTAACAAGAAAATTTATTCTCCCCCCAAATCTCTTCCAAACAGGCTCAGATCCAGAGCTCAGAAATGATGCAGGTGAGGAGCTGGAGCGATAGCACAGAAGGTAGGGTGTTTGCCTTGCAAGCAGCCGACCCGGGTTCAATTCCTAGCATCCCATGGTGCTACGAATATGGTCCCCCGAGCACTGCCAGGAGGAATTCCTGAGTGCATGAGCCAGGAGTAAACCCTGTGCATCGCTGGATGTGACCCCCACCCCCCCAAAAAAAAAGAAATGATGCAGGTGGGACTTCAGAGCAACACAAAGTTGAACCAAGCACATATAGCAGGGGTCCTTTTTGTTTTTATTTGGGGACATTTGCCCACTACTATGTCATAGGCCCTCAGCTGTCCTTTCTGATTCTGTGATTCTTACATAGGCTATGACTATCAGATATTCTGATTTTTCTTCTTTCTTTCTTTCTTTTTCTTTTTTTTTGTGATGGAATCACTTTGAGATAGTTACAAAGCTTTCATGATCGAGTTTCAGTCATACTATCCATCCCTCCACCAGTGTACATTTTCCACCACCAATGTCTCCAGTGTCCCTCCTGTCACACCTACTCCACCCACCCCCTACATCTGTGACAGGCATTTTCCTTTTTACTCTCCACTTTGGGCATTATGGTTTGCAATAGAGATACTGAGTTGGCCCTTTGTCTACTTTCACACATCTTCCATCCTGAGTGATGCACCATTGACTTAGTGATCCCTTCTCTATCCCAACTGCCTTCTCCCCCAGCACATGAGGCAGGCTTCCAACCATAGAGCAATCATCCTGACCCTTCTCTCTACTGTCCTTGGGTGTTAATCCCATACTATGTTATTATATATTCCACAAATGAGTGCAGTCCTTCTATGTCTGTCTCATTTCTGACTCATTTCACTCAGCATGATATTCTCCATGTCCATCTACTTACAAACAAATCTCATGACTTCATCTTTTATAATAGCTGCATAGTATTCCATTGTTTTAGCCCCAAGAGAGTCACTGGATAGCAAAGTTTTGGAGAAAGATTTATTGTTAAGACCTTCTTAAACTCTTCCCACTCTGACCCCTTTTCACCTGAGAAAATGCAAGTTGGGCAAGCACTGCCAGAAACATTGTGGATTCAAGAGGTGACAATTTTGAGTTAATTTTAGGTGGCTGACCACCCAGAAGCTTTCCCTTTTGCCAAACATTTTGCCATCCCCCACATATGTGATCCCCATCCCCGAGTATGGGATCAACCAACAGTTTAAGCACCTAAGGTCAAGATTAAACGGACTACCGCACGACAGAGCCTGGCAAGCTCCCCGTGACGTATTCGATATGCCAAACACAGTAACAACAAAGTCTCCAATGGAGACGTTACTGGGCCCGCTCCAGCAAATCGATGAACAACGGGAGGGCCTTTACTTTACTTTACTTTACTTTACTTACAAAAGTCAAGGGTTTCCTCTCCCATCCAGCATTTAAATTTCTACATAAAACTTACACATAGTATCTAATCATCTCCTTCAAGTACTTGAATCACTCATGAGATTCCAGTAACTTCACTGTAAGACACAGCTCTGGTCCCCATTTCAGACAGTGCACACTCCTTCCCACGGATAGAGGAGCCTCCACATGATACTTTTAAGATAATGAAATATACATAAAACCAGGCCTCCACAAACACCTTTGGTTAAACTATTCCTGGAGGTTCATTAGAAATGTAGAGGGGAGAACCCCTAAAGGTACAAGGTTCAGATAGTCTTCTTGATTTGAGCTATTTTCCCCACTGTTAGATTTGCAAAGGTTCTTCTCTATTTTTGATAACCTGTCTTAGTCATAGAGTGCCTATGTAGCACAATTTTAGAAATGTGAAATAACTCAGAAGGAAAAAAAAATAAGTTGCTAAACTAACCACTAGATCTAAACTTACCTTTTTTGCCAGTTTCAAGTCCTCTATCAAGTCTTCTTCTCCTTGGGAGAGCTCAAAGATTGCCTGTAAGAAAAAGCATATTCACTGACCTCTTCTTTTCTTTCTTTCTGAGACTAAATTGAATAGTGCTTGTTCCTGTTCTCAAAGTCCCAGGTCTACTTATTCTTAAATATACTCAAGGATTCTCAACAGTTAAGTTAATCCCTAATTCTCTTAAGGATTCTCAAAAGTTAAGTTAATTTGCAGCAAAAGTATCAAGTATCTAACACTTACAAAGCAAAGACTTTGCAAAGTCCCTGTACGTGTGCTTATACATCTGTGTGTGGGAGACTTTCCACATATGTTTTCCATCTAACAAGTCATCTTTCTTGGTATAGAACTTTTAATGAAGCCGAACAAGAAGGAACTATTTTAGATGAAATAATTAGTTTGAGCTATGGATTCCATTTTGCCATTGTGAGAGGCAATCGTATTAATGAGTTTAGATGTGTTGGACACATCAGGTTTATTAATCAGAATATCACAACTTGCCTTATACTCAACAGAAGCTGGACTGCCACAGAAAACTCTGTTCATTTCAGCCACTATCTTTTTTCATTAATTTGGCTTGTTTGGGGGGCCATACCCAGTAATACTCAGGGATTACTTCTAGCTCTGCACTCAAGAATCACTCCTGGCAGTGCTTGGGTGACTATAAGGGGTCGCCAGAGATCAAACTACAGTCAACTGTGGCAAGGAAAATGCCCTACCCGTAATACTATGGCTCTGACCCAGCCACTTTCTTAAGACTGAACAAATCCAATATTTCACCATTAAAAATGTATGGCAAAATTAATTCATTCTAAATTACTTCCAAGTTTTACCTGGCACCATAAATTAAAAGAAGCTGTCCGTGTGCAAGAGTGTGTAAATGGACCATTTCTAACTTGTCTATATTACACCATCATCTTTAAAAGCTATGATGTACAGAACAAATTCTTCCATCTAAGAGTCTAACTGATGAGTAACATAACTTTATAAAAGACTACATGTTTGTGGTGATAATGTAGTCACTACCGTCTTTCTTTCAGTCTAGAGGGAAGAAGTGACTTGAATTTGAAACCCAATTTCCATCGATACGGGGAGGGGGATGAAGTGCAAGAAAAATGGGTATCAAAAAGCAGATGGAGGGTTGAATAGAGAGAATACAGAGGGTAGGGCACTGGCTTTGCATGTAGCCAGGTAAAAACCTGTCACTGTGCCTTAGAACAGATGACTGATTAAAGAAACTTGGGTACATCTGCACAAGGGAATACTATGCAGCTGTCAGGAGAGATGAAGTCATGAACTTTGCTTATAAATGGATAGACATGGAGAGTATCATGCTAAGTGAAATGAGTCAGAAAGGGAGGGACTAGAGAGGGACTGCACTCATTTGTGGAGTATAAAACAATGTAACATGAGGTTGACACCTAAGGACAGTAGATACACGGGACAGGTAGATTACTCCATAGCTGGAAGCCTGTCTCATAAGCAAAGGGGGAAAGGCAGCTGGAATAGAGAAGGGATCACTGAGAAAATGATGGCTGGAGGAATCGGTCGAGATGGGAGATGTGTGCAGAAAGTAGATAAAGGACCAGGTGTGATGGCCTCTCAGTAGCTATATAGCAAAACAATGCCTCCCTCCCCCCCGCCAAGAAAAAAGTAGAGAGAGAGTATGGGGAAGGTTGTCTGCCATGGAGGTAGGGAGAGGGTGGAAAAGAAGGGATATACCGGGGATATTGGTGGTGGGGAGAATGTGCAGTGGTAGAGGGATAGAAGTTTGATCATTGTGTGATTGAAACCCAAACATGAAAGCTTGTAACCATCTCACGGTGATTCAATAAAATTTAAAAAATAAATTAAAAAAAAAAAAAAACACCTGGCACTGCATGCGGTTCCCTGAGCCCTGCCAGCATTGATCTCTGAACACAGAGTCAGGTGTAAGCCTTGAACATCACTAAGTGTAGCCCCCAAACAAAATAAAACAAACAAAAAAAACAGATGGAGGTGAAAGATATCTCAAAATACTGGAGCATATTCTTTGCATGAGGAAGCCCCAGGTTGAAATTTCTGGCACTGCATGGTCCCCTGAGCACTTGGAGCGGCGCCCAAGAACCAGTGTGTAACCCCAAAACAAAACAAAAAGAAAATGGAAGCAGAACACAGCACTAGAATCCAGTGAATGGAGACCCTTGATTGAGGCACATGGATGTCTCCACGTCATGTTTTTTGGGGGCTCTATTTTATTTAACCTTTTATTTTTAAATAATTGCAGACTCATATACGATGGCAAAATCAGTACAAGGTGATCCTGTTTACCTATAACCCAACTTCCCCTAATTGGGGGGCACCTTACATAACTATAGTGTATTATATAAACCAGGAAATGGCTTGCCACAAAATAATTATCTAGTCTTTATTTAGACTGTCCTCAGATTTCCTGTACATTTGTTTTATTAGAGGTCACTTCAATAGGCCTGATACTCTGACTTAACAAGTCTGACTGGAGAAGAGGAACCCCAGTGAACCCCACTCTGGGTAAAACACCAGGGTCAGAACTTTGTAAAGGGTCAGCACAGTGTTACTGTGAAGACCAGAGGTTTTGAAGGGCAAATCTGATTTTGCAACTTCCTACATGAGTCACCTTGGATTCACTATACCTGAATCATCTCCTTATCTGCTGAATCAATCCTCCCCTTTCTTCTTACTACCAAACTGTATAGGTCATATCTATATACTACTAATCTTTGAGAAAACACAGGAAAGTATAAACCACCCATAATACCTATCATTCAGTTAACCAGTTTAAGATTCTGCAGTATTTCTTCACAGGAATTTTCAGGGGAGTTATTTTTGAAATGTTTTCAATGCTTAATACTTATTTATAAGTAGTATACTGACACGGTACATGAATGGGTACATATAAACACTTACCTCTAACCTTTTTTTTTTCCAGTCACATCTGACTGTGATCAGGGGTTATGCCCGGTTCTGTGCTCAGGGATCCCTCCTTATGGGGCTCTGAGAACCTTATGTAGTACCAGGAACTGAACTTAGGTCAGCTACATACAAGAAAAGTGCCCTGCCGCCAGTTAGTTCTCTGTTCTTTTTCCTCCTCTCTCACCTCCTTTCTTTACCCAAAACCCTTCCCAGGAAGAAACAATGTTACCAATTCTTTGTAAGTACTTCCAAAATTATTACACCGCTCTACCACAACACACACACTTGTTTTATGACAGCCTACTACACATTCATTTTTGTGCTTTGCTGTATTCACTTAGCCATATATATCAACTCTTTTTGTGTTCCAACAGCTACGGAATACTCCACATGTGGACATTCATTACTTAACAACTTCCTGGTAACACAACCAGGGTCCTTGTAGCTGGCTTAGAAACACAATGATGAAAAACCTTGCATACATATTTTTTAATCTGTGTATAAGTGGACTTGACCAATAAGTTCCTAAAAATGTGTCAATGAGTCCAAAACTTAGAAAGTTTTCAAGTACTCCCTCCACAAGGTCAAAATTTCTACAAAAATAGACATTCAAAAAATTTCACTAGCTTAAGCCTGGTCTGGAGTTTCTTTCACAGCCACTGGAGGCTTATTGAGACAGAAATCTTACATGGATTGAAGATTTAACTGCATCTCAAAGAAAAGAGGTTCTCCCCTAGGTTGGATCAATCAATGTTTTATAAGTGGAATGTTTTTAGAATATTCTAGAAGTTGCTATTAAAATTAAAGTGATCCCTTCTGTGAAATCTAGACTCCTAAACAGATAATTCCCTGATTCACCTCCTTTATAAATCCATTTTTAAAAAAGTTTCCTTTGAAAGCAAAGGCTACACCCACCCATCTGGGTGCTGGTTTTTCAGTTCCTTCCACAAATCCTGATACACCCCGACTTTAGCTGCTATCGGTCTACAAATGCACTGAAGCTCTCATCTGGAGACCACAGTGTGGGCCCCATGTTGGCTTTCAACTGCAGGACACCACACCCTGTGCCAGCTTCACCACCTTGTCCTGGGTCCCGTGCCTACCTCCTGCCGTTTGATTTCCTTGGAAGTAAGCATCTGATTGACGCACACATCGAAGGTCTCACTCCACAGCTTGCTGTCTCTCCGTTTGGTGCTCGAGGAGGTGGCATTTCTGGACCAGGGGCGAGGGGTGAGGATGTCGGGCCGGCTCTCACTGCGGAAGCTAATGGAACGCTAAACAATGAGAAAAAACAAACTGTCACGGGGGCAGGAATGGCAGGGCTGGGTGGATCCTTGGAGTGGCTTCCCGTCACGGACAGAACATAAATCAGACATTTGCAAGAAGAAGAAGAAAAAAAAGCAATGCTGCAAGGCTTTTTGGGAAGCCAGGCATTGTTATTGCAAGAGACTGCTTTCACTCACGTGCGGGGAGTATCCGCTCAGAGAGAGCCGGGCACCTAGTGTACCACTGCATCAGAACATTACAAGCACACTGAAGCACAAAGGCCACACAAAGTAATGAGCTCTCCATTTCCCCCAGGGGATGCCTCCCTTCTTCAGATGAACAAGGAAGGATTAGAAGGAATGGACTGGGAGTTCTTTTAAGTAGGGTAGAATCAACCTCCCAGCTTCCTTCCACACCTTGTCTCACAAAGTGTGGGTGGTGTCCCCTGACCAGATCTATCACTGGTTCAGGGGAGTGGGACATTAGTCCTTGCAATCTGTAGGAGAAAGAGGGAAAGAGTCTTTCTTCTTTTGGAACTGAACTCTAGAGAAAGTAAAACTATCAGTTTTGTGCAACTCCTCTCAGATCACAACAAAGAGTCCGCTACAGGAGAGAATAATGGGACAAACATAATGAAGGCTGCAGAGAGGCGATGACGAGAGGGAGGTAATGAGCTTGACCAACACTGTTTAAGCATCCCACTACTTAAAGCCAGAAAGAGCCTCCTAGACTTAGAGACTAATTAATGCTGTCCCCTTTTTCTCTTCCCATTAATCTCAGTGGAGTTTGAGTCAAGTGGAAAAGTACCAACTAACAACACAACCAATTTATATGCACCATCACAGCAGCAAACGATGCCAATTCCTGAAGCATTTTCTTATTTTCCAGAAAGGTTCCACAAAATGTGGGGGCAACTGAACTGCTCAAAGTCTACCTTTATGGTTGAAACAGACTCCCATAGTACTTCCTCATGACAAAAAAAAACATGATCAAAAAGAAAGCCTAGAGCAACATCTTTGGCCTTCATGAGAGGCAGTTTCAAAGTACTTATTGGAAACATTCCCAAAGCATTGAAGTATCACTGTGCTCAAAAAAAACACATCTTAGTGAGCAAATATTCCCATGCCAGTGGCCTTCAGTGTGAAGTTGCAACTCTTCCGTTTGGCACAGAAGAGCTCTTGGAAGTTGACTGGTGTGTCGATGGAGGATAACCTCCTGCACTCACCCATTAGCCCCCATTCTTCAGCTTGACTTGGTTACCTCCACTCATTCATTAGGCTTTATGCTTTGCCAGCACTTGGTGTTTCACTCAAGCATATTTTTCTTCCTGGAATGCTTTCATTGAATTAATTTCTTAGGGGCTGGGGGGCCACACCTGGAAGTGCTTGGGGTTACTACCAGCTCTGTGCTCAGAAGTCACTCGTGACAATATTTGGATCACACAGTCCTGGGGACGGAACCAATGCTGGGTTAAGGTACTGGCATACTTTTCTTTTATACGTTTTACTTGGCTAACTCTTAACTCTCCTCATGCTACAACTCAAATCCCTCCTCTGAAAGGGTCAGTGCCTCACACCATCTCCCAGACCAATCTGAACATACCTTTGATTTAGCAATGATCACATTTCATTATTGCTTACAGGTCACCTGCTCCGAACTATAAATTTCCTGAGGGCAAGAAGGGATTTTTACATGACATATGAATCATTATCACTAAGGCCTTCAACAATAGCTTCCAAATGTTTTGAAATCAACAGTAAAATTCAAGTAAAGAAAAATAAGTGTGTGTGTGTGTGTGTGTGTGTGTGTGTGTGTATGTTGCTAGGGATACAACCCAGAACCTCACACATGCACAACAACAAATAGTTCTACTGCTGAGATGCATCCCAACCCTATAAAAATGTTTGGAAAACTATCGAATACAAGAACACTGTTAAAGGAAGTTAGCTTAATGGAATATTACCTAGTCACTAAGACAGATCTGAGATGGCTAAAATCAATTCTACTTAGTTTAAAATAGGAAAATCTAAAAATGAATATTTTAATACTATTTCAAATTATGAAAATGCACACTGAAATAAAGGAAATGCCACAAAATTTTGTTGTTTTCAGCTTGATGAATCTTAGCTTCCAAGCTTTTATAGTTCTTGAAATATGCAAAGGAAACTTCCAAGGGGATTTAGGGCTTTGCCATGACCTTCTGCTACTTTGCAAGTAGCAACACAGCCACTCAGGCGGGCATAGGCATCTCTGAGTTCCCAGCTTGTTAATATGCCGGTCAAGAAAGTACTTGCAGCAAAGATACAGTTCACTGATGGTATCTTGCAAATCCCTGTGATCTTCCAAAACAGGCCCTTATAAACAGCCACCCAGCTAATGTTTGCAGATGCCCCAGCACTCATAATCAATTAGCCACAGGCACAGAAAGGTCAAAAAAACGAGGGAGTGAGTCATCAAGCAACTCACTCGTCTCAGTTTGTGGTTCTGATGCCAGCCAGGGCAGGACTTAAAGAACAGGAAGAGAGGAAAACATAGAAAAAGAAGACTCAAAATGAAAGCCATTTTCCACTTTCACTTGAGAAAGTTAACCACCCACCACCTCATTCTGTCAATCCCTGACCAACACTGCACACCCTCCCACCTAGTTCTGAAAGTAAGTTATGTTCATTTTAAGTATTCAGACCTTACTAAAGAATAATAATTAAGTACAAATCCCCTCATTTTCCCACATCCTCTTCCCCAGAATAACTGCTGTTAAGTGTGTTCCAGATCTTTCCAAACCCCTCTATGCACTTGCTATCATTCAGAGAAAAAAGTATTTTTTTTCTTCTCTGCAATAAGAGTCTTTGCATTAATACTTTTTTTTTAATTTTAGTTTTGTTTGTGGGACTTCACCTAAGTGGTGCTTGGGGGTTGCTCCTGATGATGCTTGAGGGAACATATGACACTGGGAGTCAAACCCTGGTCTGTGTGCAAAGCCTGTGCTCTATCCACTGAGGTATCTGGCCTTAGAACATGACTGAGGTGAGAGGCTGGAGGGACAGTACAAAGGTTAAAATGCTTGCCTTTCGTGGGACCAATCCAGATTCAGTCCGTTGCACCACATACGGCATGAGCACTGCCAGGACTGTTCTCTGAGCACAGAGCCAGGAGTAGTCCTGAGCACTCCACGTGTGGCCACCCTTTCCCCCAAAATAAGTAAAGTAAAGGCCCTCCCGTTGATCTTCGATTTGCTCGAGCGGGCCCAGTAACATCTCCATTGGAGACTTTTGTTGTTACTGTGTTTGGCATATCGAATACGTCACGGGGAGCTTGCCAGGCTCTGCCGTGCGGGCGAGATACTCTTGGTAGCTTGCCGGGCTCTCCTAGAGGGGCGGAGGAATCGAACTCGGGTTGGCCATGTTGGCTGCGTGCAAGGCAAACGCCCTACCGCTGTGCTATCGCTCCAGCCCCCCAAAATAACTGAGGTGAAATTTACAGAAAATAAAAGAGAGCTGGAAACTACTGTGATTTTCATTCAATGCCCAGGCCTAAGGATCAGGTGCCATTCAAACCCTTAGGCGCTAGAGATTACCAGGACCAGGGCCACCTGGATCTGCAAGCACCTTACACCTGAGATGGGGAGCTGGAGTTGGGGAAGGAACTCTCTGATCCATAAACTGATCTGTCAGTGTCACTGTCCTCCCGTTGTTCATTTTCTTGAGCGGGCACCAGAAACGTCTACATTGTGAAACTTGTTGTTACTGTTTTTGGCATATCAAATATGTCACGGGCAGCTTGTCAGGCTTTGCCATGTGGGCAAAATACTCTCGGTAGCTTGCCGGACTCCCTGAGAGGGACGGAGGAATCGAACCCGGGTCAGCTGCATGCAAGGCAAACGCCCTACCCACTATGCTATCACTCCGGCCCATAAACTGATCATTTAAAAACATTAAATTGAATTCGGTAGCCTTTATTACACTCACAATGTTGTACAACTGCCACCTCTATCTAGTTCCAAGACATTTCCATCATCCCTAAGTCACTCCTTTGGCTAGCTGCAGCATTAACATCTCCAGAGTCTGGATGAGACACAGTGATTCAATAATCCCCACCTGATGAATATTAAAGCCATTTCCTGTGTCTGGCAATTACAAAAAGTATCTCGGCAAATGTTCTTTTATGTATTTGTGGTACTATTTCTGTAAGACAGAATTCCTTAAGTAGAATTCCCCAGTTCCAGAAGTATCAACATTTTAGTGTTTGATAATGTACTGCCAAAATGACCTCCAGACCATCTGTTCAGCAATCCCAGAAAGGTATGCCAGCATGCTATATCACACTCCCATCAACAGGAAGTTATTAGCAGTAGGATGGGGGAAAACAGTGAGAGAGCTTAATTTCAGTTTCATGTTTTAAATGTAAGAACAAAAATTACTTATTGAAAAATTTCCCAGAACTGAAGATTTCCTTTTGTTGCAGCTTGGGTGAAAAAGAGAAGCAAATTATATGAGGAAGCGAGGGCTGTGAGGAATTTGCCACTTTGTGTTTCCTTGGTGATTGCTGGGCCCTGGTATTAAGGAGGGAAGGGATGGGGGAAAGTTCACCTGGTATATCCCTTAAGAACTGTTCTATGCCTGCCTGTGCTTAGTCCTTCAAGTGAGTTCTCTATGATCCTCAAAACTACCCTGCAAAGTGGTAGTTTACAAATGAGGAAACTGAGGCTCATGGAGGCTAAGGGACTTGCCCAGGCAGGTTTCAAAACCAGACTGGTCAGACTCCAAAACTTGAGCCCTTTTCATCTGGGGGCTACATCTGTGGCTTACAAGAAACTCATACATGGTCGGGAGTTTTCCATGACATAGAGCCTAAAGCTGGTTTTAGGAATAATGACTGAATGGTTGTTTTTTTTTTTTTTGCTTTTTTTTTTTTTTTTTTGCTTTTTGGGTCATACCCAGTGGTGCACAGGGGTTATTCCTGGCTCTGCACTCAGGAATTACTACTGGCGGTGCTTAGGGGACCATATGGG